TTCAGCAGGCATGGTGGTGTTGGGTTGACGGTTGGATTTGGTGATCTTAGAGGTCTTTTCCAACCTATGATTCTATTCTTGCAACCTCCAAAGCTAATAACAAAGTTTATATAAACACATTTCTCCAGTAACACTCAATTGTAAGTTAAATGTTTTGAAAATACCAGTTTGCAAAGACATTACGTACATTGTTAAAATACTGATTTGTAGTATTGCATGAAATTCTCTATCATTAGAACTGGTTTTGAACTTTAAACAAGAGTTTTCAAAACATTTCACAAATACCTATTTTCCCTCAAATAGGCTTGTATTTTAATCTCTGATCATTCAAAGCATCGGGTCACTGGCTTGATTATGTGCTTGGAATTCGCAAGTTTCTTTTACTCTTTGCTGGATTTTCTGTACCTTTCAGTTGTCAGAATGGGAGGAGATTGGAAATAAAAAGAATGGAGCAATGCAGCTTAATACTGTGAGTTTTAGATAGCGCAGCTGCAGCAGAAGCAAAGAATTCCTCAGACCACAGTGACAATGCTAACATCCTCAATGAGGAAAAAGTTGCACCTGCGGATAATATGACTGAATAAAGGATTAAAAATTTGAAAATATGTCACTCCTTATGCAATTGAAGCTGAAGGTGCAGATACTGTTCTAGCAGTGTGTGGAGCCATCCACAGAGGGGTGGTATCCTGACTGTTGGGTTTTGCTCACCTTGCCCCACACCTCAGTCCTTTGAAATAAGCCTAGTTTATATTGTTTGTGTTGCTTGGGTTGATCCTTAAAATGTAGCTACACACGAGGTACTTTGGTTATATTTTAATTAGCGTCTTGATGGTTTTCAGGAAAATAGATTGTATCCACTGACTCAAAAAATATGACTTTTGCATACTAACTGTAGTTTCTGTATATGGGTGGAATAGCTTTCTCGTGCATTAAAAGATATTCTGCCCACTTTTTGATAAGCTGCTTGGTAAATTACTTATAGATTGAAATTTATTTGCAAGTGTTAAAAAACTGATTACAGGTTCTTATTTTTAACTCGAAAAAATAA